CTTTATATAAGGTGGAGAAAGCGGATAGTTGGCATATTCCTTGCTTTCTGTCTTTCTCTCTCCAGTGAGCTGTGCACTGCTATTAATGTAAACGGGGAGTGCCTGTGTAAACATTCTTGTTTCTCCCCATTTCACATAATAGTTGCTTGTATCATATTTCTTCTGACCTCGCTATCTGAAACCAATTACAGAAGATCCATTTGGGCTGAATCTATTTTCATAAGAAGGCTGAGCTGCAGTGTTTTTCTCAGCGATGAATATCAACATCAAATATGCTTCTGAGTGCCTTGTTATTTATGTTACACAGAGATATTTTGTAGCTCTCAAGAATGTGTCATACTGTGCTGTTTATACATTGCAGATATCAATGGGTGGAGATGTATTTTGTTCCTTTTTGGGGATGCAAATCAAGACAGGTTAAATAGCTATTTCTGTTATTCATTACAACAAAGTTCTAATAAAGTTTGACTTTTGTTGTTGTGTCAGATATGTAGGTGTCTGTATGGCCACTCCAAGGCGACCGTTCTTAAAGGCAATTGGTGTTTAACTGCTTAAATACCGAATTTACCTTGAATTGTTCAAGATAACGGTAAACATAAAATCCAATATAATAACACATACTCAATTTTGCAATTGTGCTTAGTTTTTTCAACATTTCAGTAAATGCTCGTGTTAACCATTTCAAGCTTAAATCGTTAAAAATAGTAATAGCAAAATATTTCAAGTAATTTTGTACATTTCTTAGAAAATGTTCAATTTTTTTATGAAATTACATTTTTTAAAGGAAGAAATGTTAAAAAAACAAAGATTGATTTCATACGGCATTCATGAGTAGTTAGTGAACAAAAGAACCGTTACAAATGAGACCATTCAGCCCATCTAGTTCATTTAGTAGTTATTAGCTAATTAATATATTTCATTTCCCCATTTCTAGAAGGAAAGCCAGGTTATTGTCTTCAAAAACATGGCTGCTTAGCTTCCTCCATATTCCCATGACACATTTAGATACATTTAAGAATAAAAAAGATTCCATGTAAACAGTTTTCTTTCTCTTTTAGCCATCCCATTTGTTTTTGTAGAAAGAGTTGTTACACTGTATTCTGTCTCAACATACTTTTCTGCAGTGCACTGTAACCATGGATGTATAACCTTATTAATGACAGTAGTATTTACCTTGTTGTGAAGAAAGAGAAAGGGTCATATGAATCTGGCAACCAAAAAAACCCAGCAATTTCTGTTAGAATTCAATAACATAGAAAGTTAAGGATACAAGTCAGGATAATGCTGTTAAAAAGTTGCCACTACAATCAAAATACTAATTTTAAGTTCATGGTTAGTGATTCCATAAGGTTATATGGTGAGTGTAGAAGGCTTCACAGCCGAAACATTGTTTTCTCTCTCTTCTCTTTTCAGCATGAGATAAACCTATTACTTGTTCCTTTGCAGACTACGCATGCTGACGCAGCTACCCACCTGAACTACCATAGTAAATTAAGATATATATCTAAATTTCAGTCTGGTCTTAGAGTAAATATTAATACATCTGTATATCCATAGTGTGTTTTAATGGGGCAATACATTTTTGTATTGTTATATAACTTTGTTTTGTTTAGGAATGCTTAATTTCTTTAACAGAGTTAGTTTGAAAATGTCAATTTCTAAAAAATAAAAAGAAATGTGAAAAAAAAGGTTTCTAATCAGAAGGCCACAAGTAGCTGTTGAAGTGTGATTTATTTTTTTAACTGAAACAGTTTTTGTTACAGGTTAAGGCTCTGTTGAAGAGTAGAATATTCAGCATAAATGAACTATATTCTTGCTACGCTTATGTGTTCAAGAAATATTTTAATCTTCTTTGTAGAATTTAATCACTTTTTTGTCTGCGGGCTTCTGCTTTGTGGTATATGTATTTTATGTCATTGCTGTGTGTAGATCATCAGAAACCAAAGGACAGTTTGGCAGTTTTTGTAATAATTGAACAGCTCTAGCTTCTGTTGCTTCCTACAGTTCAATAAACAAAAGGTTTTCAATATTTTACATTTAAACAGTTTTGCCTAGTAGATCCTTAAAAACTAATACTTTGAATACATTATCATTTGATTTTTGTTTTGGATTCAAGGGATTGCCTTTTTAATAATGCGCCATTATGTAACTATAAGTGTTTTGTTCACACTAGAACTACTTAACAATAATGCAGGGATAATAAAGGGCTGTGTTTCTGAAGTGTTTCCTAAAGTTAAGGCTGTGCTTTGCAAACTGGTACCAGATCCTTTTCTGGGGAGACAAATCAATGTTGTTAGGACACAGTGCCACTGCATTCAGTTTGTTTACTTTGGTTTTCAATGTCTGCCTGCCTCCTCAGAAAACTTGCTTGGAGCCAGACTGTAGCAGCCCTCTCTCTGTCTTTTCATAATTGATCAGGGGATGACTGCCTTCCCTGAGGGTTAAGACGTGGCAACTTTTTTCTGTTTGCTCAGCATCTCAATGTAGTAGTTCAAACATTGTTCACACCAGCTGGCAGTGTAATGCCATATGCACATCCTGTCAAAGCAACTGTTGTCATGGATACTGGAGATACCAGAAAAAAACTACCCCTTGATTCTAATAAAAAAGTGACTTTCTCCATCTGAAGTGTTTTTTTTACAAAGAAATACCAGTGAAGTTTTTGTTTTTGTTTTGTGCTCCCACAGTTACGGACAGCATATTCAAAACACTTTGTTCAACTGTCCTGAATTTCTTCAACTTATTTGCTTGCTAGAGCAATAATGTATGGCAGTGGACTTAATTGACTGTGAAGTTGTTCTTCCATAATGTGCATATTTGACAGTGGGACCTCAGGCATCATTCCAGTTTTTTTTCCCTTTACTTGATTTATGCATTCTCAAAATTATAGTCTCGGCATTTGTGCTACTGTCCATGTCAAATGGCATCACATTGTCCATGATTTTTGGGAGAAAAATGTATTTCTTTTAAACAAATGTCATAACTTCAATGTCCCAGGAAGTTCCCAAGACCACTTTTAACAAAATGTGTGTTTTATAATGTGCTAATAACTTGGGATGAACTTTAAAACAGCTTTGAGTTGCAAAGCTTCACCCTTGAGGAACTGTGACGGAAGTGCAAATATGAATGTATTTACAGAAACAAAATCAGCTGGTTTTTAACAGTACTCAGGCATTTAGTGAATAGGTTTATGTTAATAATCAACTTTGTATGTGTTTTCTGGTTACAATTAGTGTAATAAAAAATGTAGTATTGGTTTTGATTAGACTGTTTTTGTAAAAATCTGTATTTTTGTATTAACTGTTCTACGTTATTAAGGGACTAACACTTAAGGTCTGGATCAGTTTATTCATTGATAGCCATCTGTTTTCACCCTCTCCGTAGAGCAGAGCCTTAGATTAATATAAATGTTTTTCATTATGCTACATGGACTGCTCTACCTTAGTAACAGCAGCACTGTGTTGAAAAAGCAGAGGAACCCAGAAAGCCAACAGCCCTTTCTCCTGAAAGGATGTAAACAACAACTTACATCCCAATAATCCCAAGTGTTATGTTAATTATATGTCTTAGACCTAAAAATAAACATACTGTGTATAAATAAATTGAAGACATTAAAAGGGCATTCTAATTCTGATTTGCTGTGCGCACAAATCCTAACCTCCCTAACTGAAAATTAAGGAAATCTTAATTTTATTAATTGCTTCGGTGTGCTCGAGCTGCCTTTTATTTTAGTCAAAAAATACTAAACTGAGCACAAACTAAGATTTAGCCTGACATTGGTAAGTGCATAAGACAACATTTTAGTCCAGTGCTGTGCTCTACATTAGTTTTATGTCAGTGTAAAGTGCAAGAAATATGTGTCGCAGATCATTGATGTTTGTGTGTAAATATACAGATGTAAACAAATATGTTCATGCACTCTGTTAGACAGTTTTTATTCACTCATTTCTGAAGTACAATTGTTAAATTGGAAACTCTGTAGACGTTTTTCATAGAGTTGCAGAAATACTTATGTACATACTGTGTCTTAATTTGGTTAATTCACTAGAAATCCTAAAATACTAGAATGATTGAACTTTCAGTAAGCGTAGAAGAGATCTTGGAGAAATCCAATAACTATTGTTAAACAAGATTGATGAAACTGAGCACTTAACATTGGAGATGAAAGGTGCCAATATTTACATCTGTAACAGTATAATTTGAACTCTTTTCTTTTTGTGGTTTTTAAATATATTCAGAATAATTGGGGATACCAGTTTTGAACATCTAACTCTTGTTATTAACTTTCCCCATTTGTGAGCTATTTAAAATATTATGCATAATAAAGCTATAAAGAAAACCGATGTACATTCAATGTGTCCAAGTTTCAGAAATCTTTTGTTAGATCAGAAAGTCATGTAACTGAGAGTTGATTAGCTAGATTTTTATTTTTACTTTTTGATCCAGAAAACATTTTAACCCCAGGTGTCCACTTTCACTTGACACAGAAAGTAAACTTCTTCTGTTAGAATAATGGTTTAACTTGTAGCTTTGTAAGTAAAGCACTTCAGATCTGTGGTGTAAAATCCTAGTTAATTCACTTCTAAGATAATCTGATGTTGATTTGTCAAATTTAATTACAGCTTCTGGTAACACTTCAAATCTTCTGCTTCTACTTCAAATTGATATTATGAATATGCAAATGACCTGGTAATTTACGGAGAAGTGGGCATTTCAGTTGAGCACACACTAGACGGGTCAACACTGCTGATGCAGTGATTTTTTTTCCCTTCAAGAGTGCTTTAGGCAAACTAACTGTATTTATCTTTGATTATAGCTATATCAATTATTGTAAAAGTGCCAGAATATTGAGCAGAAACAGATTTATGTTAACCTTGCCACAGAGGTAATCACTAAAATATTTCAAGAATTTAAGATTTTGTGCCATTCCTTTTAGATGTTTTGATGAAGAAGAGATTAAATCAGAGGAGAAAACTTTACCGTGCTTCTTTTCTTCACAGGCACTACAAGCAGCAAGACAATTACTTTTACAACAGCAAAGCAGTGGATTGAAATCTCCAAAGAATAACGACAAGCAGCGTCCACTGCAGGTGAGCATCTGTGAACTGCATATTCGCTGTTGCTTTCCTTCAGTCTGTGGGTAATGGTGCTTTAGTCTTCTAAGAATTTAAAAGCTCTGCCTTTAAATTAAATGGTGTTCAAACAAGCAGTTTTAGGTAAAACTCAAAGTGCTTTATGTTTGACACAACAGATACATTCAGTTTTGTTCTGAAAGGACCTGCAGTATTATTTAGGTTTTTGGTGTAACTGACAGCAAAGCCTCTAACTGGCATTTGAGCCTGTAAGTTTGAGTTTTTTATGTTTGTTCTGCACTAAGAGAATCTACCTCAGACACATAGAAAGAGGAACCATTAAAAACTGTGGCTCTGAAACTTTAGTTTGTAAACTGTTTTTACTTTGCAAATTGTATAGGTGCTGTTCATGACATGGAGTTTTAAAAAATATTATTTTGGCTGCTTTAAATATGCAGAGAGGCATTACAAATAGTGAATGAGGATAGGAAGAAACGGTATGTGATGAGTTGTGGTTAGTACCTGAACTGCCAAGTCGATGATTGTGAGAAAGGGCTCCTTGTAGCGTACAGTTCAGGAGATCTCTTGAATGATAGAAGCATGGCGGAGTGTTTAGTACTCAGCCTTCAGACCAGAGAGTAGTGGGTTCAAAACCGTGGTGGAACACTACTGCTTTTCCCCTGAGCATGGGTAATGCCTCATCCTACATAAGTTTGTCTTGGCCATCATTCTAACCTAGAATGTGTTTCTTAATTAACTTACCTGGTAAAATAAAAGTATAAAATGCAGAAATATAAGGATCTGTTTTAAAAATTATCACCAACATTTAATTCTACTAGAAATTCCAGACGAAGTGGTCATGACAGTAATAACAAGTGCACATTTAAAGTGGTAATAACTTTAAATCATTGCATGAATTACAGCACTTTTTATTACAAATTAAGCACTGTTTCTAAGTAAGAAATAATACATACAAATGATCAACTTTCAGTATCGCAGTACCAATATCAACAGGTTTTCTCAGTTTCTCCAGGTACCCTGGTTTCCTTCTGCTATCCAAACACATACTAGTAATGTTAATTGGCTTCCAAGAAAATTGCCCTGGTGTGAGTGTGTGTGTGTTTGTGTCTGTGTGTGCCCTACGACAGACTGGCATCCCATCCAGGGTGTATGCTGCTTTGTGCCTGTTACATGCCAGGATAGGCACCAACATTGTATTGAATAAAGAGGTTGGAGAATGGGTGGATGGAACTTTCCATCAATGGGAAAAAAAGAACTTCTGAACAACAACAAAAAAATATATAATTTATGTTTTGATTTAAATCAAGAGTGTTAATAGTCAGATTGGGAACCAGAACCTACGCAGTCAAATTTTAAAAAGGTTGTACTACTGGCCAAGAACAGCCCCCAGTGTCGCATCATAGAGAACATCTTCATTTTCTTTCACATAATTACAAATATGTTTAGCTTTAAGTCCCTGTATTACTAGCATTTTCTTTTAGAATGTCTTGATCTTGAAAGGTGCTATCGCAAATCAGTAATATATGTTTTTTGTGTCATAAATATATCACCAAGCTGATTTTCTGTTTTTAAAAAAATAATTAGTTAAAATACAAATTTTAAGCCCTAAGTACTTACTGTACATTGTAAAACATATCATGAGCCTAAAACATTAACCTCCAGTAACCAGTGACAACATAACAGGCAAGTAATATTGATATTAACCTCTAATCTTTCATTTAATAGACATTCACATTCATTTAATGGCAATGCTTGAGTTTCATGTCAAAAGAAATGTAACTAACACAATTTTAAAGATGTTCATCAACAGTCAAGATAAATGTGTTAGGTATAAACCTTAAAAAGCAGAAATGGCAAAGGTCAAACTAAGATTACAGACACCTTTTGTACTCCTCAACATCTTCTCAATGAAAATTTGTACAGTCAAAAAATGATTTAGTCTCATCTAATGAGTACATACCTGAATAGCACAGTACCTATGCAGACATGTCATAAAATGATGTAAACCCAGGTGCAAGATTCCTCATAGTAAATGCAAACAGTAAGCAAAATAATACATTCACCTTACCAGTTTTTCTACCCATCCACTTCAGTCCCCTTTTCCTGTTGAAAGTTACAGCTTATATATTTTTACTAATTTATCTTACACCTTTATCCGTGGCAACTTACTGTATCATGAACTGTACGATAGTAATAGGCTAAGTATATAATGCAAATTAATGTATAGAAAAGGAAACCATGAATGTATATTTGTGAAATAATGTAACCCAGAAGTTACAAAAATTATAAGGTTCTAAATTACAAGCTTCGGTAACTGAAACAAAACAATTCAAGGCACAGGTAAAGACTGAAAGAAGATGTTGAGGAACAAATTGAGTAGGAAACAGGTTTAATATCACGGTTCTTATAGTGGCCAGGGGAGAGAGGCTAAAATCAAGAGAAACAGAAAATTGAGATCAGAATAGGGGAACAGAAAAGGAATGTAAAGTAGGTCAGATATTGAAAGGACACATTTGTGGTGGAGGAGGAGATGAGCATTTGTTAATACATTTGAGGTGTAAGATGAAAATATCTAAGCATTTGTGGAGAAGCCATATGAATAAATGAGACTGAGTAGAAAGAGGAAAAATGGGGACCTAGTACAGATCCTTGTGGAACACCTCTGGAGATAAAGGGAAGTGAGGAGAGAAAGTGATGCCACAGGACGTGTGTGGAGCAGTTGGAGAAATAGGAACAAAACCAGTCAAGAGCAGTGGCTGAAATATTAAGTTTAGAGAGCAAAGTTAAGAGAACTTATTGATTGTTTGGTCAACTCAGCAAGCATTATCAGTGTCATTGCATAGTCTGAAGAGTAAACAAGGACAGAGGGTTTTGTGGAAGCAAGAAGTAGAGGTCTATAATTAAAACACCATCCTATGTGCTGCCAAGCATGGTGTGAATCTGTATGAGCAATACCGGGGATTGGAAATCTTTATATGACTAAAGGAACCTTACATATCGCAAACATATATGGTGGATATAGTTTTGTTTTTCAGCAGGATGATGGTCAAAAGCAAACAGGCAAGTCAGATGCAAGTTACTATATAAATACAGTTTGACCTCAGAAATCCAGAACTCTCTGTCACTCTGTCTCTGCTTTTCTATTACTTTCTCTCTACCTAAGAGAAACATGGAAGCCAAACCATAATCTCATTTCTCCCAGAAAAAATAACTGGGAACTCTAATCAACACTGAGGGAGCCAGTGGTATACATCCTCTGAATGAAACTTCTTGTTTCCTGTGGATGACGGCAATGTGTTATTTTACATCTAATTCCATATTTTATACAACATACAGTATCAGATTTACTACCATACAAAGAGCAGTTTGTTTTCTTCTCTTCTTTGTTAAGGTCAGTGGTACAGATATTTTCACTGTGCAGATTTAATTTTCAAACTACAAAATTAGTTCTTAAAATGTGGTAGTACTTATTATTTTACAGCCTTTTGGGTTTGTAGTTTATGTTTCCTACATATAAGAAGACTGCAAAACATTTTTGTTCCTTAAATATGTAAATTAGCGATGTGCATGCTTCCTCCCTGTTTCTGCCTTAGGGTGTTATGTATGATTCAGTATATACTGTACATAAATTGTTGATTAGATTTTCGTGTCTAAGAGAGCCACAACTACTAGTGTGAACCGTCTGCATCGGTCAGGTGGCAAATCACTAACATGTCTCTTGAGAAATTTTCGCTATGCCATTCCACAGCTCGATACTCCAGTGCGTCTGGGTTATCATCTGATGTGCGTTTTAGGCTCAAAAGTTAAGATTGTTTTGTTCTATAGAGGAATTTTAGTTCCCACAAGCTTTTCAGTACTGACACATGACTTAGACTAGTCAAGCCTCTGCCAAACTTGTGAGTAATTCTAGGGTGACTTACTTCCGATGTTAAATGAGAATGATCTCATCATGTTATTGGATTAAATCTGAAGAGTTTAGTGTGTTACCTCAATTATTGAAGTAAATCCTCAATAATTGGGGTTGCTAATCGCCCAAGTTTTTTGGGTAATCCATACATACTCAGGGAATACATAAAATTGTTTGCTGTTGTACAACCCATATGTTGTGTATTTTTATAGGTTTGTATTGCATTCAAAATTGTGGTCAATTCAAAAAAACAATAGCACACGTTTCAAATTGTGTTTTATATTTTTCTCAGAATTTTATATTGTTGGAATACTGCATGCCTTTATAACTTCTTACAGTGCTTTATCTTCTACAGTTCAAAATGAAAACATTTGACAATTGGAGTTTCAGCATGTTTTGTTGTTATTGCACACTTTATTCTCTATTGTTTCATTCCAGAATTTTAAAATATCATTCTACCATCCTTGTCACCAAGTAGGTTAGCTATAAGAGCTCTTGAATAGTATATCTACAAGTTTGTACACAACTACACACAGTTAAGTGTGAACAACTTAGAGAATTTTACAATTTCTGGAAATATATTGAAAAGCTTATCATGAATTGAGAAGCATCAGCAATACAACATGTACCACACTCTCATTCAAAGCATGTAACAGAATACATCACAAAATGTGATAAACAATTTTTTTTTGTTCGAGCACAGCTACATACAGTATATCTTTGGGATTATGAGTAGTTCTTAAAAATTAAATTTCTCCCATGAAGATCAGATATTGTACGAGAGAAATTAGTGTTGAAACGACTGTTTTGTGGGAAAAAATCTTTAATAAAGTAAATTATTTGTGAATGACCCTTATAATGGTTAACCCTTTAATACTCATCAGAATTTGAAAAGTTAGTTGCCCAAGAAACACCAGCTTTAGAATTGTACATTGTATATTAGTATTTCAACATGATGTCAGTTGGACTTACATAATATAATTTGTTTTATTGATTAATCATACAATATTGTCTTATTTGGATGTCAGTGGCTACGATGAGGTAATTTTCCTACTGCTTTTAATGCATTCTGTTCTTGACCCTGTTAAAC